CGCCCTTTCCCTCTCAACCATCACCAGTCCAACCCTCCGCTCATCGCGCCCAACATCGTCCCGCGACTCCTTTCCCCCGTCTTCATCGTTTGCCCCGACATTCCCACCATCTGCCCGTGATCCTACCTTGCGAGTCACCAGCCCGTCCATCTTCCCTCAGTCGTTCTCCTCGACAAACCGTCTAACCAGTCCCTCAGTCTTGCATTCCCGTGAATCCATCCTACGCAGCCCGCCCACGTTCCAGCAACAACACCATGCCTTTGCCATTCCCCCGTTATCACACAGAGAGGCCATCCCCGTACCGAGAGATTCCAGAGACTTGTTGGTCCATAGAGACACAATACCGTCTCAGTCTTCCCGAGACTCGACATCTCACACGGACTCTGTTATCATGCGGTCCCGGAGGGACTCGATGGGCTCTATCCCGATATCGTCCCACTCACAGAGGGAAGTCGCCCAAAGGGAAGCCCTCAGTAGGGATCCAATGTCTCACATGGAATATCGAGCTCGTAGGGATTCCATAGGCTCTCATCCACCGCAGGTCATTTCGTCGTCTCAGCCATCGCACAGGGATTCACTGGCTCAGATCCAGACGCACAGGGAACCTTTGTCCTCTCACCGCGATTCATTTTCCTCTCACCGCGACTCTATCCATTCTCATCGAGACTCCATATCTTCTCAAGAGGGCATCGCCCGAATACATAGGGACTCGATATCTTCACTATCATCGCATTCATCCAATCATGAACCCGTCTCTTCACACTTGCTGCATAGGTCGCCAGTTTTGTCAAGAGATCCGAGGTCGGTCCCATCACTTCTTATTTCACTCATCTCACAGGATTCTCTTCTTAGGGAATCGCTTTTTGAGAGGGAAACAGGGCAGCTTCACAGAGAGAGGGACATGATTCCAGGGTGCGTCTCATCGGTCCTTGCATTACATTCATCTGACGGGCACGTAGCAGGGATCCGCGTGGTCGCTCGTTTCCGATGCAAATTCCACCAATCTCCACCCATCCATCTATCACACATCACCGAGATAGATCGCATTCAATCACTGTCGCCGGTTTACCTCCTCGTGAAAATGTCGTCACCGTGCCTCCCCGTGAACACGTTGCATTGCCTCGCGAACATGTCGGCAATCGTGAACATGTCCGCGAACATGTCATCGCTGACCAGATTACCCGTGAACACACCACCCATACCCCGACAATCACCCCAGTTCCTTCCCGGGAGCAACTGCTTGTCCCTCCTGCCTACCCGCCTATCTCGATCCAGGACCGTGTCACAAGCCCGATATATCTCAGGGACGGAGCTCCGAGCTTGAGGGAACACCATGCGGGTCCGGTATTGTTCAGAGAGCATACTACAAATCCCATTTCTGCTAGAGAACGCATTCCAAGCCCTCTCGTAGCTAAGGACTACAATCCGAGCCGTTCGTCCACCAGGGAGTCCATTGTCGCACCTAGAGAACGACTGTCCATTGCCACTCACTTCGATTCGCTTCATGAGAGGACGATCAGTCCTGCCTCTACCGGGGAAAGGCTTCTCAGTCCCACGGTCGCAAGGGAGAGACCACCTAGTCCCGTAGTTGTGAGGGAGAGACACCCCAGCCCCGTGATTACCAGAGAACGTTTTCCTAGTCCTGTGGTCGCTAAGGATCGGGAGGGTTCAAGCATCGTTCAACATGCGAATGGACGCGAGGAGAGGGTCATTAGTCCCGTTTCAAGTAGGGATCTCGTGAACACTGAGACTGTTTTGCGGGAGAAACCATTCACCTCTCATTCCGAGCCACGTCGCGAGAAAGCAAGCACGTCCAGCTCGATATCAGGGCTCTTGCAGCGGGACACAGTGCCGTCAACATCAACCTTGACATTATCTTTGGACATTGCCCGACATCCCCAGCCATCGTCATCAGAGCGAATCGCCAGCCCCGTTGCTTCTTCCCCTCCGAATGAAAAGACATTGTCTCCAAGTGTTTTGCCTCCCTCCAAGCAGCCTATACCACCTCCGATAGTGCCTGTTTCTTCACCGATCATCCCTCTTTCTACTCCAACCCAAAGAGTTGTCAGCCCAATCATTCCTACTCCGACCAGCATGACGAAGCGGAGCCCTCCGGGAAGCCAGACAGGCCGGGCTATCGCCCATGCCCATGTTTACGGCAAGGCTGAAGAACATACGCAGAAGAAAATCGAAGTGATCGACGAGGTCAAAGTGGAAAGGCGGGAAAGTGTCGTGCCACCAACACCAGCACCTAGTACTCCCATGAAAGACGAGCCGATGCCTTTGGCGGGAGGTGAGACGGAGATGAAACAAGTCAAGCACCCGAAGCACAAGGAGTCGTCGCACCACAAGGACAAAGACACGGAGCCGCCACCAAGAAGGCCCTTGTCAGCCACCGCTCATAAAGAGAAGCTCACTCCTCCGAAGCGACCACTGTCTGCCACCTCCCACAAGGACGGAATGACACAAGAGGACCCACACGAATGGTTCCTCGAGCATTTCGCCGATTCCCCCGCTCCGAAGAAGAAGAAACCGAACAATTCCTCATCGCCTGAAGATGATCTTACCAAAGAGCTGGAGAGGGAGCTGGCAGACGTTGGCACGCCAATACCTGATGCGAATGAAGAGGAAGCCGACCGGATGGAGGTTGACGTGGAAGACGAGCTGCTGAGTCTGGTGCAGGATGAGCCTGTGAAGGAGAAACCCGTGCTGCCACCTGTTCCACCTGTCAGGAAGGCCAGCATGAAAAAGAAGGCTTCCGAGGAGCGCGACAGGGAGTCGATGCCGCCCCCTGCAACGACGACGGTCAAGACGAAGAAGAAACCTGGTCCTAAGCCAAAGGTCGTGAAGCCTGCGGTTAAACCTACTGCGAAACCTGGCCCGAAAGGGAAAAAGGAGGCGACGGTGCCTCTGAAGGGTAAAGCGGCGTCAATCTCAGCTTCGAGATCGCGGTCGACCAGTGTCATGCCTGGCGATGCGCAGGAGGAGGGTCAAGATGAGAAGCCTGAAGAGAAGGAGAAGGAGGTGGAGGATGACAAACTCTACTGCGTGTGCAAACGCAAGTACGATGAAGGCCGGTGTATGATTGGCTGCGATAGGTGCGACGACTGGTATCATACGCAGTGCGTGAATATGTCGGAGCTGGAAGTGGATCTGGTAGACCAGTTCATATGTCCACCCTGTATTCAGAGTGCGTGATCTTCCGACTTTGAGTTCTTACTTATAACTGATTTGTCATGACTCAGAAAACCCTCAACTGAACCTGAAGACGACATACAAAACCAGGTGTCTTAATGGTCTTGATGATCCGGACCCTTCCTCTACTGAGGCATGCCATCGACCATCAAAAGGTCCCTTGAGCAAGTATTGCTCGCCCGAGTGCGGCGTCAAGTACATGCGACGAAGGATCGACGCGTATACGGTGAAAGGCGGTAGTCGAGAGGTGTTATGGTCCAAAGTGAAAGATGCAGAGCGACGAGAAGGGGTCGTGGTTCACTGTCAGACTGGTGCCGTGATGAAGAGCAAGACCAAGGCGGAGCGGGAGATCGAACGCTTGGCTGGGCCCCTGGAAGCCGTTGGTAAAGCACGAGCAGGGTTGCGACGTGCGATGGAGTGTGTTCTCTGGCGAGAACGGGTGTGGGAGTTGGCGTGTCAGCGGGCTGAAGCAGGGGGCGATATCTGTGGATGGGATCAACGGCTCTGCTTCGGCGAGGAAGAGTGGGAGGAGTGGGGCGACGGTGTGGAAGACAGCTATACTGCCGACGCCGATGATACCGATGCCGAATGGTGGTGTCCTGGTCCCAAGGATTGCGAGCGGCATCGTGGTTGGCAGTCCATTCGCCAAGACGACATCAATAACGAGAGGACAAAAGGCGAAGAAGCCATCATGAAACTCACGACCAAAGAGCGAGAAATACGCAAACTGATGGAGGATCTCATCGGCGCCGAGAGCACAGATATTGACAGAGACGCCAAGCCTGGGCCCTTGAAGAGCAACGGCAAGGTCATCAATGTCAATGGCAACGGGGTCAAGAACGTCAAGGGGAAGGTGAAGGTGAACGGCGATGACAAGAAGACACTGAAGAGGAAGAAACGATAATAGTTTTTCTGCCATGACTTTCCCACCTGTCTGATACTTACCTTGTATTTTTATTACTCTTTTGTAGCCCATCGTCTGCTTTGTTACTTGCATGTATAGTCAACCACGATAGTCAATGTCAATAGTACAATATGAAACACAACGTAGAGAGGTCATCAGTAATGTAGAGATGACGTCGAGCAGATGATACCGTTGGAAAAATTTAGTATCCATCGCCTTCCCCTCCTTCTTTGCAGAACCCCTTCTCCTCGAACAGAATCTGCGCCTTGTGTTCCTCCCTTCGCTTTTTTGCCTCGATGTCGTTCTGATGATACGGTTCCAGCATTGCATAGTCGACTTGCCGAAGGGGGATTTCATCCTCCTTGTCCAAGTCCTATAAATCCGTTAAGCCATGGTTTGGTCACAGCCACGATACATACAATTTCACCCAGTAACACTACATTCTCGCCTCGTATGAGAAATAGACCGCGCGGAAACTCTGCGAAAGCATGCCCGTGGTATATTCGTTCAACAGTGTCTTCAAGAACCAAATTTGCTGCGCAGGACCCAACAGGGTTGGTAAACAGAAACAGGCATATGGAGGAGAAAAGACGCACCAAACTGGTCATAGGACCTCAAGACGCCTTGCAGTTTACGCCCGTCTCTGAGTATGACGAGCATCTTCCCTACAAGCAACACGGACGCGAGAAATCAGAAAGGAACGTTATTTTTGAACAGTGTAAGCCATGGCGGTGCGCGACGTACTGTCCACGCAGTCCACCAGCGCGCCGGACGTTGTGAAGGGTATGAGCGAGTCCATTGCTTGACGCTTGAGTAGATGGTGATCAAGAAGTGTAGACGAGGATTTCAATCGGGTCAGGATATAGGCTATGTATATGCAAGCAATCCAACGAGCTTCTAAGCTGGGATGGCCGAGTCGTTAAGGCGAGTGATTTGAACGAAGGTAGATCGGCATTACGACCCGATCATCTCATTATCACTTGGTGTTTCACCGCGTAGGTTCAAATCCTGCTCCCAGCGTTTTTTTTATCCCTCTTTATTTTCCGTATGGACATTGGACATTAGACACTAGATACTCTAGAATCGGATTCCGGAGTGATTATTACTACTATTGTACTTCAAAGCTCTTACTTCCGCTAAGAAATCGATTATTGAATCTCTGATCAGTTAAAATGTCCAGTTCGCTGGCAGTACTCGACATTCCACTTCCCTGTTCAGTCAGCCTCCGAGTTAATGAAACATTACAAGATCTCAATGGTTATATTTTATGCATTTCACAGTTGTCCAATCTACGACTACCACTATCTGGAAGCAGAGTATTTCCATTCCAAACACTCTTCGAAGCCCCACTCTCCTCAATGAATAGCAGTCACAAAAAAATCATCAGGTGCGTCTGAATATGCCCTATTCTCGCTTGCGTTGTCCTGTAATCTGATGGCTCTGATTATCTTCTCTGCACAGGGCAGTATGAAATATTGAACTGGGTGAGGCTCGTTCTCATGAAAGATGTTCGCACTCTAAACTCTACTAAACACAACGTAGAAATAGCGCATATATTCAACGTCGACGTGGGCTCCTCACCGAGCCTCGTTTCTCGTACCATGAAAGCGTTCAGCACTTACGAAGCTGCACTGAAAGTATTTTATAGTCGACATCATGTACTGTTCGATGATGTTTCATCCACGACGAAGCTGCTCTTTTTCAATACTCGGATCAACCTTGCACTGAAACTGTGCAAATACTTAAAGTTCAAATAGCAATTGATGTTTCACTGCATCATATTCCCAGTGTTTTTCGATTGCTTTATTTACGAAATTTTGAGTGCTCGCTGCTTGCTGAACGACTGGACGACTGTTGCTAATGGCCGTATTGTTCAGTTTAGCCTTTCTGATCGGTGACCGCACCCGTCTGTTGAGAAATGACTCCTTGATTGGCGTAAAGGCATCTGTTTTGAAGTAACGTTCATCCTAAACGATTTGCTACCCCAATAGTGGTGCAGTTAAGTACGTCCTAGAAGCAGCACAGGGGCGATATCATAGTAGTCTATTCCGCATCAACGTCAATATAGACTCAGCTGGCATGGCTTCTCTCTAGCACACCAAAGCATTCAGCGTTTGCCAAGCTGCATCGAAAGTAGTTTATAGTCAGCATCATCGTCAGTGTCCGGCGATGTTTCATCCACGACAAAGCTGTGGTTGATGTCAGGGACTGTACGCAGTTAATGAAAAGATGTTGTTACCCCAATGCAAAATAGAACGCAAGTGCAGCTTCGTTTGCTAAGCGTACAAGATTAGTTAGAAATCCCAAGTGAATTGACCCCCATACCTTCAAAGACGGTGAGCATGATCTTCTGCATGCGCCAACTTTGGCCAATGGAACCCAGGAGATCCATCAATTTACGTCCAAGCCCACTGCGCCGGGATGCGTTTGATACCTGAAGTTCATAACTATATAGAACATGGTAAACAAATTGAATTTCCGAATGACGAAGCTTGAAAGCCGACCAGTAAAGCATGTCCGAGTCGATTTCATGTTCGAACCTGAAGATACTGTATCCTGATAACGCCTGCGTGTCCGGCCTCCGAGCTACGACAAACCGTGACAGAGAATCGAACATTTCTTTTCGTTTGTCGGTAGGATCCCAACCAAAAGAAGATTGTGCATACCTAGCGTAATCTTCAGTGGAATACTCAGCGCTATACATGGCTGTAACGCACAAGTCGCGCATATTGGTTTCCAACATTGCAAATATATCCTCACGGAGTTGCTTGGATAGTTCATTGGAGGTCAATACTTCGAAGCTATGTCGAAAGTGCATTTATATTGCGCGAGTGTACCCACGATCGCATACTAGGACATACGTAGGATCGGATACACTGAGAGCTTGGGACAACTCTGCCGCTGATGCCTTGATAAGATGCTCAGGAAAGCGTACAATTAACAAATGATCCCATACCTTGTTGGCGTCACGAACACGCTTCGAACCGTCGGCCAACATAAGTAGCAAATTGCAATGGACGGGAGGACAAAGTGGAGACGGAAGATGCCGATTAAAGCTCCCTTGACAATGACCCGCATGACGTAATGTGCTTATTTTCTCTTTCCACTGTCTGTGTAGAAATTTGTTGAACGTCGACTGCCTTTTATCGTCCCCTCATCTGAATATTCGGTACTCGCAAAGATGAAATTGGACGCTACGGATCTCCGGTATGTGACACCGGAGGAATTCAGGGTTCTAACAGCAGTATGTACTCTACTCGCTATGCATCTCCCGCCACTCAAGGCTCCATTGTCAGGTTGAGATGGGTTCGAAAAACCATGAAGTGGTCCCCACGAATCTTATTGCTCAGATATCCGGTCTACGGGGTGGTGGAGTCAATAAACTCATCGGCTCCCTTGCGAAACGCAACCTAGTCGCAAAGGTTCAAAATTCAAAATGTAATTCTACTTCCACGATCCATCTCGTTGAATAACAATACCTTGCAAATAGACGATGGATACAGGTTGACGTATGGTGGCTGCGATTACCTTGCTATGCGCGCGATGTCAAAGAGAGACTCCATGCACTCTGTAGGAAATCAGATTGGTGTCGGGAAGGAATCCGGTGAGCCTAACCAAGATGCACCGCCAGGCTAATTCCTCACTTGTTTGTATAGATATCTACATAGTCGCGGATTCGGAAGGCAAGGAAATGGTACTGAAGTTACATCGGTGAGAATCTTCTGTAGCGCGCCTCAACTTGCCTCATGGTAACTGGACAGACTTGGCCGAATATCCTTTCGTGCAATAAAGGACAAGCGGGATTATCTCGGCAAGAGGAAATCAGCGTCGTGGATGTACATGTCTCGCTTAGCTGCTCAAAAAGAATGGGCTTTCATGCAGGTAAGTATTCACCGTAAAACGTCTTCTGTAACTAACAATGTTTCAGGTCCTTCACAAACACGATTTTCCTGTCCCAAGGCCTATCGATCAAGCACGACACTGTATTCTAATGGAATTCATTGATGCATATCCCTTGTGAGGTTTATCAATTAACGCACGCTACAATGTTTATTAACCTGCTCTAAAGGCGACAAATATCAGAGGTTGCATCTCCAGGGAAGCTTTATTCAACCTTGATGGACATCATTGTGCGATTTGCTCGCGCCGGGTTGATTCACGGAGACTTTAATGAGTTCAACATTCTAATACGGCGAGACACTGGGGAGCCTGTCGTCATCGATTTCCCTCAGATGGTCAGCACATCACATGTGAATGCAGAATGGTCGCTATCTATTCCTTTCGTTATCGAGTTCTCGCTAATTTCATCTCCCAGGTATTTTAATCGCGACGTTGAATGCATCCGTACATTCTTCAGGCGGCGGTTTCGATATGAGAGCTCCTTGTATCCCCGGTTTAAAACGATAGCAACAGAGGATTCCTCTGAATCAACTTTCAGGCTAGATGTCGTTGTCGCAGCTAGTGGTTTTGGCAACAAAGACATGAAGGTTTTGGAAGAGGTCTGTACGATTTGTTGCATGACGAGAGTGCTATGCTGATCGTTCATTAGTACATGGCGGCTGTCAATGAAGAAGCACAAGATGAGGAGGAAGAGGAGGAAGAGGAAGAGGATGAAGATGAAGGCGATAATGGAGGCGAAGAAGAGGACAAAGAGGAGATGACAGAGCATGGAGGAGATGAAGGACGAGACCAGAAAGACGAACTTGAAGCTAAAGATCCCAAGGCTGAGGAAGATGCGACAAGAATAGGTCTGACAAACATCGCGACAGATGTTGACAAACTTCAGGATCGCGATGTCGCAATGGACGATGAACCTCACCAAGCAAAATCGCGAGGACGGACAGAGGACTATCCATCAGACGTCTCGGACATCTCAGAGACTCGAGCATTATCAAGATCCCCTCCTCGGTCCAGACCTGTATCCCCTGATTCTCTTGCCAAGATGACGGAGGCTCTCAGTCTAAACAATGTTAGAAATATTGTTTCCTCGAATCTATCAAAGAATCGAGCGCAGCAGCAGAGGAAATATCACTCAAAACGTGGAGCTCGGAAGGCAGGAAGGCCGCAGGGTAGCAAGGCGAAACAAGATACTCGGGTGAAGATGGATGGGAGTGGTGTTTGGGATTGAAGGCCTTCTGGTTGACCGTCTCGTTAGCCATTCACTTAGATTCCCTTTTTTGGATTTACTGTGCTCTGTATATTTGCCACACCGCTGACAACCAAACAAAGACCCCTTGTCATCCATTTCTCACTACATTCTTCCTCGACGATGGACAAAACAGATCTAGAGACATATCAAGTCCAGTTATCTCAAGTAGAGGTCGCACTCTCCGCCGACCCAGATAATGCAGAGCTCGAAGCACTACGTTCAGAGCTGAAGGAGCTTATTGGACTTACGCAGACCGCACTCGCTCAGGCTGAGCTAGCATCATCATCGAAAGTCGAGTCTTCGCGAAAGTCTTCCTCAGCTACTCCAGTACAGACGTGGACTGCCGGTGATGAGTGTCAGGCCAAATATTCAGCAGATGGGGGTTGGTACCCGGCGAGGATAACGTCAGTAGGGGGCTCTGCAGACAACCGTGTTTACAGCATTGTATTCAAGGGTTACAACACGACAGAGCAGGTGAAGGCATCCGAAGTCAGACCACTCCCCGCAAACTTCACATACAATGCACCGGTATCGAACAAACGCAAGCTGAGCAAGCAGGAGGAGGAGGAGCGGGAGCGAAAGAAGAAGAAGAATGAGAAGAAGCTGGAGGCAAAGGCAGCCAAAGCGAAAGAGCAGACCCAAAAACAGGCGACGTGGCAAAAGTTTGCGAAGAAGTCAGAAAAGAAGGGGGTGCACATCGCAGGCGTTGCCGGGACCAGTATCTTCAAAACACCCGACAACCCTCTTGGTCGAGGTGAGTGTCGTCCCGCAATTTTGTTTATCTGTTTCCTTATACTCACATGGTTCTTTTTCTGTAGTTGGAGTTACTGGGAGTGGGAAAGGCATGACGGAGGTGGCAACTCGGGGCAAG